GGGCTCGGTTTTCTAGGGGTCGATTCCCCATTTTCAGCCATCGTTCTTTTCAAAAACCAGCCATTTCCCCGGAGTGTTTGGTGGTTTTCGAGAAAGAAGGATCCCTGGAAAGAATGGAAATGGAAGTAACCCCTAGAGGTTTCCCATTTGATCTCCGCAAACTGGGCCGAGGTCTGCCGCGTCCGATCGCGGCAATGGCTCTTTGCGCCTGCGTGAGCCTTGCGGCCTGGGCGACGCCTGGGGTGAAGAAGTGAGCCTGCCGGGCTCTGATCCTTCGGTTTTCAGCCAAGGATGGGAAAATGAGATCCCTCCGTTTGCTCAAGCCCCCTAAAACATGGGAAAATGAGACCCTTTTGTTTGCTCAAGCCCCCTGAAACTGAAAACAAAATGGTAGAGAATTGGCAGGTGGCAGGCTGTCTTCAGCATCGCCACCCGAAAACCGGAGCCAGAAAAACCAGATGGGCGCACGGCTTGTTTTTGTAGGTCCTTTGCCGTTCTGGGCATCCTTTTGGGTATGACAACCGCCAAAATCGCCGGGCTCAAGCTGCAGAACTTCAGCAGACCGCTGAAAGGGTTAGATAGCTGCCAGATTCCTCACGGTTGAAGACTTGACCAATGACGGATCAATGTGCCTAAAGATTTACACCCTTGCTCACTTAAGCCATTCAAAAGGCCCCAAACAAACACGTTTTGTACCTCAGCTTCGTGTATGGCACAGGATCCCAAAAAGTCCGGGGTTGAGCCCACCCTTTCTACAGGAAATAAAGGAGCCGTTGTCTGACCCTCACAAAAGCCTGCGCCACTGTTGGTTTTCAAGGGAACCTGTGGATGGACCCTTAGAGCCCTTCTCTTTGGGAACCAAGTCTTCCGAATCAAAGGGAAAATGAAACCATAAATGGAGATCTTCAGGGGCCACCCGCCTCCCCCAATTCCAGTAACGGCGTGTATTATTTTATTTAATCATCTTCTGCATCCGCATCATCATCATGGTCACCATCATCGTCACCGTCATCATCAACATCCTGGGTGAATTATAATATTGCACCAACCTGAAATAAGGTGGTTGGGGGGCTACTCCCCACATGAACCACTATTTGGGTGAGGTCGTGTGAGGTCGTTATAATTACCGGGATTCTTACATTATACACCTGAACATTGCCTTGTAAATGGCGGTCTCCCTTTATTTTGGTGGAAACAGCAACATGTTTCAACTGGTCGCAAAAACAAATCAGGAGCCCTGACCCAGAAACTCTGAGGGAGGCCAACTGTGGACTCCAGGTGCCTCGGAGAGGACTCCACATGGCTCAGCATGCTAAGCCCGGCCTGGCGAAGCGGGGCGGCGTGCTTTTTTTTAAGGGATCTCCCCAAATGGTCTTCTTACCCCGCAAAAAAGGGGGCGCCAACTTTCCAAAAAAGACACACCCAACTAGTCTTGCAAATTGTGGCGACCCACACTTCTGCTTTAAAGACCCACTTTTTAATAACGTGGGTGCCCATACATTATGTCGACATATCCAAGTTTTTTGTGGTGCTGAAAACGCTCATGCGCATAGTCGAACGGAGAGAAATGACTGCCTTTCTATCGTAAAAAAAGATCACATTTCTGGGAGGACGAAATCCTGTACCACTTTGAAACCATGCAAAGCCGTTGGCTGTTGGTATTTGGGAAACATCATTCCGGGGTTTCTTAGGTGCTGCAAAGTTGCTCAAACAAGACCAACCATCCGATCCTTCAATTTTCCTGGGGCCAATTTGCTAGCCTTGTGCCTTTGGAGCAACAGTTTGGCTTCGTCGACGTTTAACCCTAAACCCAACCGCTGGACAGTACTTGGGATTTCGGCCATGACAAAAACCAGTTGTTAAACCAAAAGTGAGCCTTCAAATTCTCGCAGCTTCCCAGTAGCTGGGAACGGATCGAAAGGTGGACGGGTTTGTTCCTAGATGCTTGTCAGAACCCAACACACGTCGCTCCAGTGAAAGCCAGGCCAAGGTCCGGCCAAAGGCACGCACGGTTCCGGGAGGCATTGGGATGGCCCCTGCAGCAACTCTCCGGGGACATTCTCAAAACTCTTGTGGGTTGAAGGGAAACCGGCACCCACAAGCAATATATTGTGCGTTGCTTGTTTTTGAGGGTACGGTACCCATTTTTTGGTGGTTTTTGAGGACTTAGGACCCACATGGCCGGGGGAGGGGAGAGGGGGGGGGGGGGCTCCTTCATTTCGCATCCTCTGACTGACGTCTGGTCCTCTCGCAAGGGACCCCGGGACATAACAGGCCAGGTCCGCAGATCGCAGAACCTGGGCGCTGATATTGGAAGCAAATCATTCAAATCTCCTGCTGGTGCATCTAAAGGGTTCCTTCTTCCTTTGCCCCTACAATATTCACATCACCAAAGGGAGACACACAATTGACATTTGCTCAAAATGTGATGTTTAAAAAGCAAAGCAAACCGGACATTATATATATATATATGTATACGTGACCAAGTCTTTCTCAGCCAAACGAGCTTTTGCAACTTTGCCCCGTCCAACTTCTTGTGTTTTAGTCGCTTTCCGTTTCTAGTGGAAGGCTGTATCCGACACCATTGCAGTTGTTGTTCCCTGGGGGGGGACATCATTTCTTGAAGCAGTGCCACTGTTGATTGAGTTTTGGCAGCTGGTGATTCAGAAAACCTCTGGGTGTGTCTCTTTAGGCACTCCTTCCTGCTTACTTTCCTTTGAAGCGAAACCCCAACAACTACAGGATTCACGATTTTTGGTTTCTGACTCCCTGAAGTATGGCAGTCTTTTGGGACCCATTTTCCTTTAGGGTTTGGCCCCCCCCCCCAGCCTCTGTGACCGTGCAGCTCGGGAAACATGAGGAACGACCCACCCACCCGCCCGCTCAGTCGCTGGCGCCCCTAGGGCCGTTGCAACCTGACGCATCCATGGGATGACTCGTCTTTTGGCTCGTTGGTACCCCTTTTGGATGGTTTTGTGTCCCCTAAAAGAAGGTGCGCCATTGTGGGGCACCCTTTAGACAAAAGACTAGCGTGGAGAAATTCACGCAAATTGGCAGCAGTCGGCCTGTTGGCTTCAAAAAACGGTCGGAGAAGAGGAAGCAGCGTGTGGCATGATTCTCCTTTCACAAAAACGACTGCGGGAAGTGGTCGTTGCAGGGCTTTGAGACCCCAAACTTTCCCCATGCGGCCGGTTCCGAGGTCACTTGCGGCTTTCTGAGGGTACGTTCAGCTTGGCTTAGGTTCATCAAAAGGAAAGCCACGCCCAGCTGCTTTGAAACAAGAGGCGGCGAAACATGGGACAATATGGGGGACACTGAAAGGTCAACATGTTGGCAGTGGGCGACTCAAATGATGATGATGATGATGATGATGATGATGATGATGATGATGATGATGATGATGATGATGATGATGATGATGATGATGGTGATGATGATGATGATGATGATGATGATGATGATGATGATGATGCTGATGCTGGTGCTGGTGCTGGTGCTGGTGCTGGTGCTGGTGCTGGTGCTGCTGCTGGTGCTGGTGCTGGTGCTGGTGCTGCTGGTGCTGGTGCTGGTGCTGCTGGTGCTGGTGCTGGTGCTGCTGCTGGTGCTGGTGCTGGTGCTGGTGCTGCTGGTGCTGGTGCTGGTGCTGCTGGTGCTGGTGCTGCTGCTGCTGCTGGTGCTGGTGCTGGTGCTGGTGCTGCTGGTGCTGGTGATGACTATGCCGATGCTAAATCATGTTCCATTGGGCCCGTGTCCGATGCACAAAATATGGTTGGTAGTTTTGACTCTTGACGATAGCTACTATGTGTATGTGCCCATAAACACACATGATATGATATTCATGTTAGGTGCATTTAGCAAGGGTGCCGTGATTGAGCCTATCGGCCCCATTGCACCCTCCCGACCTGCCATTGTCATAGTCATGCGGGGTCCTGGCAAAGCAAACACGCGCACCCTCGACTCTCCCTCTGCCCTACCTCTCTCTCTCTCCCTCTCTCCCTCTCTCCTTCTCTCGCTCTCTCTCTCTCCCTCTCTCCCTCTCTCGCTCTCTCTCTCTTCCTCTCTCCCTCTCTCGCTCTCTCCCTCTCTCTCTCACACACAAACACCACGTCCGACGCCAATCATCAGGATTAACCGAAAAAGGCATCGAGGAGTTTTGGGCACACAATTTCCTCATGGCTTTCTGGGTGGCACGCTTTTGACGTCCAAAATGGGGGATCCCAGTCATCACCAGTGGTACTTCCTGACAGGAAAGATGATTTTGACCAACCATCTAAGAGGCTTACGAGACGATTTGGAACTTCCAAGCCATTGGCGTGCAAATTTGGGCGGCTCCTCAGCCCCCGCAGCCCCCTCGGCCCCAGCCCGCCTCCACTCGAACCCCGCGTCTCTATATAATTTTCTCCGAATCTACGTGCTCAATGCCAGTTGCTTCGCTCCGTGTTGCAAATCTGAATCCTTCGTCGGGCCGACAGCTTGAGGCGCGACGAACAGGGCGGAAACTCAAAGGCAAACTTCACGGATTCCCCCCGACACAGGACCTCATTCACGTCACCAGGGTTTGGACTCGGGCCATGTGGGACCATGAGAAAGGTACGGGACCAAACCGAGGGGGAACTGTTCTTAAGCCCCAAATTTAAAGCAGATCTCGGCAACTTGAATTCACGCGGAGAACGCCTGGGCAGTGCGTGTGCGCGTGCATGCATGCGTGCATGTGAGTGTGCGTGCATATGTGCGCATGCATGCGTGCATGCGTGCGCGCGAGGTAAAAAGTGTGTTCTGGCGGTGAGGTTTGAGGTGTACTCCGAACTTCGTTGGCTTGGGTACCTTGTGCTCAGGTAGTTTGTTTCGGGCGCAAAGAATTGCAAAATAGTCTACATACCTCAGGGAGGTCCAAGAATCCAGGCAACTATTCAAGTCGTTTGCAAACATGAAACAAGGAGCTTGGCCCGAACCCCCGGGACACGCGCCCTCCCCCGCTCCAGGCACACGGTGGCCCTTTTTCACTCGCAGTCCAGCAGGACCTCATCCTCGCTGCTGTCTGCCAGCGGCTCGTAGCGCGCAACTTGCGTAGAAAGCCTCGGGCTCAGATGGAAGCCCAGCCTAGTGGAGGCGTCACGCCGCTGAAGCAGGACCCCGCCTAGTAACCAACCAAAGCTTTATTCTTCTGGGTTCACATTGCCCCGGGTCGCAGTCATTCACAACTGCGAAAAGTGGCAATGGCTTGCCACAAAAAATCGGCCAACCAATTAGGTGTTCATACCGGGGGTGAAGGGTTAGCTAAGAACCATTTGGCAATCACTCAAGCACGAAGAAATCAGCCAAACCCAAAAGTTGTCCTCTTCAGGAAAAACCGATCCATACCTCCCACAGGTGCGCTAATGTTTACGGGATGAAGAGTATATAACACAAACACGGATGCTAAGTGACCAAGAAACGGGTTTTTGAAGGTCTACCAGCCGAAAGTGCACAAAGGGTTGCTATGTCTTTGCTTTGCTATGATTCCGCTCTGCTATGTTTGGCTAATTTCGCCTTTGCTTTGCTGTGTCTTTGCTTGTCTAGGTCTTTCCTTTGTCGCTTCTTGGCTTGGCTATTTTAGGTCTTGACTTTTGTCATTCCTTGACTTGTCTGGTCTGGGTCGTGCGCAAAACTTCCTTTGACAAGTCAAGTTGGTAGGTGGTTTGCACCAGCTTTTCACAGGGATTCTTTTCTTCCAGGGTACCCTAAGCAAAACGTGCGGCGTTATTGACCAGGTGTCAATACTCAAACAACCTGGTAGCCAAACACAGGAATGGTTTAGCGTGTGTGTGTGTGTGTGTGTTGTGTCATGTGTCATGTGTCATGTGTCATGTGTCATGCGTCATGTGTCGTGTGGGTGCTGGTGCCTGTGCTTGTGCTTGTGCTTGTGCTTTGTTGCGTGTGTGTGTGTGTGTGTGTGTGTGTGTGTGTGTGTGTGTGTGTGTGTGTGTGTGTGTGTGTGTGTGTGTGTGTGTGTGTGTGTGTGTGTGTGTCCGTGTGAACTTGTGCTTTTTGTGCTTGTGTACTTGTGTGTGTGTGTGTGTGTGCGGCTTTGTCGGTGTTTTTGGCCTTGCGTGTCCACAAATGCAAACACACATGCGAATGCACAAGCCCGCCGGATCTTGAAACAGTGAGCCCTGTGCGCACTTTCGGTTGTGTTGTTGAGATGCGCTCGAGGTGGTGAAAAAGTGAACCGTTTGCGGACTTTCGGGTGTCAGTGAGGAGCTGGTTTCGCGTCAGGCACAGCACTTTGTGAGGTGCTACCAAAAAACGGATGCGCTCGGGTCTGCTTGGGCGGGGTCTGGTCGAGTTGAGTGCATTGAAATGGCAACGAGCACTGTTTCGCAGCCGCAAAACAGTGAACCCTTTGCGCGCTTTCAGCTGGTCGACCTCAGACAAACTGTTATTTTTGTTTTTTTCCCCCGCATTTTCACGTTGCCAAGTGAACCCTCTGCGCCCTTTCGGCCTTGCAAGCAAATCTTGGTGGAAGTGGCCTTGCAAGTAAATCTTGGCAGCCTTGGGAAAGATATCAGCCACCCAAGACAGATATTCTTTTGGAGCACGCCTAGGAGGTTTGAAGGAACCCCTCGCGGCCTCTTCGGACCGCGTGGGGCGCACAGCTGTAATCTTCACATTGCTAAGAAAGAAGGGGTGAACAAAGGGACAGGCGGGATGACATGCGGCTGTGCAGCTCGCCGCGCTTTTCTTTAAGCACGGAAGACCCCGGGCTCCGGCAATACCCGATGTGCACAACATGAATCCACCGGCCAGACAAAAGTTGCGCTTCTTGAAGGTCTGAGCGGTTACAACACTTTCCCCTCAGAACCCTTCAGGAAGAGACCTACCGGGGGTGTGCGCGGTCAATTTGGACCTGGGAAGCATCTTGCTATTATACACATTGCAAAACAGGGTGATAATTGACCGTCCCATGCTGCCTGCCGCACAAATCGCACTTGTGGATTCGACCCGCGGCTGACCTGAAAACGTCTTTTGAAAATAGGAAAGAAGCATCAACTCTTGTCTGACTGAAGTATTGGCTCTTACTTGTTACTTAACTAGTGGATTGGCAACAAACTGTCGGGGCTGGTTGTTTACTGCTGACTGAAGTCCAACTTCAGAAGTGGTAATCCCTGACCTAGAGAGGCGCCCTCCCACCCAAATACAAATATTCTAGCCAACCAGACAATGACACTTTTTCAACCATCAAGCGGAGGCAACAGGACAATCATCTTCCAACACTGGCCACTTCCATGATTGTTGGAAGGGACCTATCAAGGAGAAAAAAACCTGGATCAACGAACCCTTCCAACTAATAGGTGGAAGACCCTGGATTCCACCGCCAGTTAGACCGCGTTTATTCACCATCGAGACCTTTCTCTTTTGGGGGTGTTGGGGGGGGGGGGGCAAAAATTCGTTCACCGACAACCCTGACGAAGGCCTCTGCTGTTTTCACACACAAACGAAACTCATGCTCGGCCAAGCACTTGGTTGATACGCGCTGGAAATTTCGCCGAATCATCATTCGCGACTTGGCGGAAAAGGACACATCGGGCATCTTCTTCTTTCTGACAGTATGAAAAACGCCTGCAGGACAACCGGGTTTGGCCTCTTGCGTGGCCACTCTTCACAAGCCATTGGGTGTTCCGTACATCTGCCAATTGCGGAACATAGCGAATTCCTCTTGGCTTCCCCTCGACGAGGGGTTGCCCCTGTCAAGCGCCTATGCGATGCCAAAAGAACCGTCTACCATGGAAAACCATTGTGTCAAAAGTGGTTTAGTTTTCCGGTGATGCCATTGCTTCCGTGCAATGTTGTCAACGCCCAAATCACACTGGCACGTCTGCGACACATCAGTCATGTCCTTGCAAAGAGGTCCGTCCCTAAAAAAGTCAAACATGTCACGGTCAGTTAAAGGTCTAAGACCAACTAATAGGAGGGTGCTTGTCTTGCGAAAAAAGTGATGAAACCCCCACTACAAAGGTAATGTGCTGTTCCCAGATCCCCTGCCAAAAGTTTAACTTTGAGTGGGTTAAGTGGAACCCCGGCCACTCAACTAAAAAAACAAAAACTGGACACCCTGCCAAAAAACCAACTAAACAACAAAAAACCTAGTGGGACTGGGACTCGCCAAGATTGGGTTCCCAGCTGCTCCCCCCATCAACCCCTTGCTTCGGCGCCGTCGCAGTAGCAGCGCCAGGGCCACAGCCACCGAGACGGCGGCACAGGCCAGGGCGGCGGGCAGGGCCCAGCCTCGACGAAAAACCGCCACGAAACGCCGAAACGCAAACCGCGCGTCGCCAAAGAAACAGCCAGTGAGCATGGTGTCACATTGGATTTTGAATTTTCTTACCCTCCCACCAATTCAGCAAAATCCCATTTTGTACAATATATCCGCCCGCCAATTCAGAGAGAGGGGTCCTGGAAGACCATTTTCCTTTTAAAGGGGACACCCTGTCAGGTTCCATGTTAATTGGTGGGAGGGTATCTCATTTTGTTACCATAATTTGATATTTTAAATTGTTTATCGATGGGGTCTCCATGACCATTAACAGTTGACCACCTGCCCAACCCAAAAAAAGATGGAAACAAACACAACACAATTAAATAACCGCGCACATGCGCACAATCACGCGTGCGAACGCAGAGACCCATACAAAGTGCACAACACACACACAAACCAGCAACCAACAACAAAACAACAGCAACAACACGCGAAGCATTTGGCAGCATACGCAAACTCACGCATGCACGCACGCACACAGAAACATCTTGCAAGAGAAGGTTCGACACCTCCGCGTGTATGAGATAGCTTCACTGGCCATCAAATGGTCTCTAAAGGTTGGGTATGCCCCTGCGTAACCAAAAGCAGGAGTTGCAAACAAAAATGCATCTCCACCCAAAATATTGTAAGCTTCCATTTGCTTGAGCCCCCTGGAAAAATAAAAGTATTTCCAGTAGTGATTGATTCCTTTTCAAACCAACAGGGCCAAAAAAAATAAACAAATGAAAGTAAGAGAGTTGGCTGGTGCTAAATGCAAGGAGCTGCGCTGCAACTGGCTCTGTACTTCCGGGAAGTTGGCGTCCCAAAGCTGTGTCATGTGGCACTTGCTTCGCAAGCAGCGCTCCTTGGCAGAAAAACCCGGGGGGGGGGGGGGCGGTTGGGAAGATTGCACCAAATGTGGCGCGCGCGTGCGTGGCGTGTAAGAAACGAGATCTCTTTAAATGAAAGAGATCAATTTAGTGAATGAAGCACAAACGCATCCTCTGTTTTGTTTCGATGCAAGAAGTGTACATCTCCATGTTTTCTTTTTTCCGTTGCTTATGATAGTTAACGTTTCCTAATTTACGAGATACATCACTGGCGTAGCATCACGCTTTGTAACAAAATCAATCTAGTAGAAAAGAATAACCGACATGGAATGGAGCGAAATGAAAAGGAAACAGTCACGAAATAGAAACGTCATGGAACAAACAATATTTGGAACACATGAAAGCTAATGGAAGCACAATTGCAAATGTAATACAAGAAATAGCAATGGAAACAAGGCATGACAAGGAATTGGAAAGAAATGGAAAGGACGTGAAAAAGAAAGGAGTGGACATTGCGAAACGAGCACTTTCTCGGCCCGGCCTGGCCTTGGGCACTTCTAGCTAGGAATGGAAAGCAATGGAAAGCAATGGAAAGGAAGGGATGGACAGGAATGGACAGGAATGGACAAGACAGGGAGAGAAAGTCACAGAAATGGACAGGAGAGGAAATAGGAAGGAAATATAAGCAAGGAATAGAATATAAATTTAATCAAAATAAATATGGAAAGGAATGAAACAAATATGGAACGGAAAGGACATGAAACTGAATCTTAAAGAAATGGAAAGGAACCACGCCGCTTCAAAATTATTGACATGGACACTTGCGAAAGGAGCACTTTTCGGCCCGGGCTGGTCTTGGGCACTTCTAGCTAGGAATGGAAAGGAATGAAAATGAGTGGAAAGAAAGATGGACAGGATTGAGCCGGATATGGAAGGAACGCAAAGCACATGAAAATGAAATTGCCACCTGCTGCCTCACCATTGTTGACATTGACAATTGCGAAACGGGCACTTTTTCGGCCCGGGCTGGGCCTGGGCACTTCTTCTAGCTAAGAATGAAGGCGAATGCAAAGGAGTGGAAAGGAGTGGAAAGGAATAGAAATAAAGGGAAGAAATGGAAAGAAATAGCAAGAAAGTGCAAAGAACATGGAAACACAAAGGAATGGAACCGATCATGTTTTCCCCTTTTTTAAAATATATGAATAAACGGGAATGGAAAGGAAAGAGAAGGGAGGAAAGTCGTTGAAAAGGAAATGGAAACACATAGAGAAATGGAATGGACAAGAAACGGAGATGGAAAAGTGCCCAAGGCCAGCCCGGGCCAAATGGCATGAAAGGTAAGGTCTAGCCCATGTCCCAATATTATCCTATCCTAACTCATTCCTATCACCACCGTGATTACTCAGGGAAAGAGGGGTTGCAAGGTAAGGAGATGTCCCTTCGTTCATATGATTAATGTTATCTTGCTTTTGTTTAGCTGCAACAGTTCTGACTCTGGAATTTCCAAGAAGCATACCAGTAAAAGGACAGGAAAGAGACAGAGAATGAACGCTTTTGGATGCATCTCCCATCTTTGAAGCGCTTACAGTCCTAGCACTAAGATCTTAAGGAATAGAGTTCCTATAAACAAGACACAGCGATGAAACAAGTAAATAACAAATAGGTGATATTCATGGCGAGACAAAATACAGCTAGTAAATCAAATGGATAATATTTATACATGTAAACCAATGTGTCTGATATTCTGGCAGATGCCCCCCACACAGCGGCTTAAGACCGGGATCTACAGCATATTAAGTCTACTTTTGGATATCTTCGTTCGCATTTATAAGGCTTGTATAGAGGATCTCCTAGTCACCTATCTGTCCTTCCTTCTCCAAATCTTAATTCTTTTTGTTGGCATGAGAAGGATTATGAGAAGGACAGATATAGAGACATAATATGTATACATTAGGATTTACTTCTTCCTCAGTCGTAAGGTTGTGGCAGCTAGCGAAGCGATGGATAGCTTGTTTTAATATCAGCTCTTGGGATCTCTTACCTATATCCTGGGTAAACGCGGAGGAAGAAAGGAACTGCTCATTTTGCAATTTCTTTCAAAAGGGTTCTGAAGAGGCGAGCTTCCTTTCCCTCCCTGTCATTCCTTTCCATTTCCATTCCATGTCAATTCCAGTTTAACTTCATTTCTTTCCTTTCTATTCGTAGCTAGAAGTGCCGAAGGCCAGCCGGGCCAAACACGCGCTCGTTTAATTCCATTTCCTTCCTTTCCATTCCTAGCTAGAAGTGCCGAAGGCCAGCCCGGGCCAAACACGTGCTCGTTTCGCAATTTCCCGTGCCAAGAATTTGGACAGGGCGAGTTTCATGTCCATTTCCTCAAAAATATATACCTATATCTTTCCGTCCCTTTCCATGCTCCTTTCACTCCTTTGCATGTGTGTTCCATGTCCATTCCATTTCAAATCCATTTCTTTCTTTCTATTTCGTGTATTTCTGTCTAGTTCTTTTCCTATCCATTTCCTTTCCAACTTTGTTTCCACTTCTTTCCATTGTCTTTCCTTTTTTGTGTTTCCAGTTCTTTCCATTCCTTTTCGCTCCTCTCTAATAAAGTGATCAAGGCCAACCAAGGCGGAAAAGTTGTTTTTTGTGTGTAAATCTCCCCGAACAGAGGTTGAAGGGGTGAGTTGTTTTCCCTACTTTTCAGTCCTTTCCATGTCCATTCCATTTTAATTCTACTTTCAGTCCATTTAATTCCTTTCTTGTCCGATCCGTTTCTTTCCGTTTCTTTGCCATTCCTTCCATGTCCTTTTAATGTCCTTTCTATTCCTAACCTGGTTGATCCTGCCAGTATCCGTATACTGATCTCACAATTAATCAGCATACTGCATACTAGATAGAAACAATTGCTGGGCAATCTGTCATTTTCCAATTAATGAGAAAACTGGTTGACAAATCAGACATTGTTTTCTAATGGTTGTATCAGTTGGATACAATAGCCAAAAACCATCATGCTTTTCTATGTTCATCATGGGACGCTCAGAAGAGGGCGATGAATCAACAACAAGAAAAACAATGAACAACAAACAAAAAAATCAACAACTAACAAAAACAATCAACAACTCACAACAACAATCAACAACTAACAAAAACAATCAACAACACAAAAACAATTAACAAGACATGGACAGGAAAGGGAACGTTTGTGCTTGGCAAGTCGGGCCTCGCTGCCGATACAGTCTTGTATAGAATCCATTACCGAGCCTGCCTCGGCTGGATTCCAGGCACGTTGAAGCCCAAATGAAAAGGAAAAGGAAAGGAACTGGAAAGGAAATGGAGAAGGATAACAAATGGAAAGGAAATGGAAAGGACATTAAAGGGACATTGCACGGAAATGGAGGAAATAGAAAGGAAATTGGAATAGAAAGGAATGAAAAGGAAATGGAAAGACAATGGAAAGGACATGGAAAGGAAAGGGCACGTTTGTGCTTGGCGGTTCTAGGCTCACTGCTGATAAAGTTTGTACGAAACCAATTACGGAGCCTGCCCCTTTCCATTTCCTTTCCATTCCTTTCTATGTCCAATCCATGTCCATTTCCTTTCCATTTCCTTTCGATTCCCCTTCCATTTCGCTCCCGTTTCCTTTCCATTTCCTTCCGATTCCTTTCATTTCTTTTTCATTTCCTCTAAATGTCCTTTCCATTTTCTTTCCATTTCCTTTCGTTTTATAGTTCCTTTCTGTTTCCTTTCCATATTTCCTGTCCAGTTCCTTTTCATTTGCGCTTCAAAGTGTCCGGGTCCAGCCGGAATTTAAAAAATAGCAGGAATATCAATCATGTTTTTCTAATTCTTATTTGTTCTTCAATGAATGAGAAAAATGGCTGGCAAATCAGTCATTTTATTCCATTTTTTAAAATAGCGGGAACACAAGTTATGTTTTTGCTTTTGTTTTTTCTAATTAATGAAACCAATTGGCTGGAAAATCAGTCATGTTATTTTTGTTGCCAAATTATTTGGAGGAGGCTAGGTTTCCGGAATGTTGGGACCTATTTTCTATTTTTCTCATCTTCTTAATGTTTCTATTATTTCTATTGAATTAGAAAAAATAGATGTAAAATCAGTCAGTTTTTTAAACTTTAGAGCCTCTGGCTCAGTCCGCCGACATTGTCCGCTCCCTTTTCTCCTTCTTACTCTCTCCCTTGTCTGCCTCGCGCGTTCTGTCGTCCTCTCCCTCCCTCTGCTCCCCATCCTCCCCATCCCCCCAAGCCTCTCTCTCCTCAATCTCCCTCTGTCTGTGTCTCTCTCTCTCTCTCTCTCTCTCTCTCTTGCTGTCTCTGTTTCTCTGTCTCTTTCTGTCTCCCTGTCTCCTTCCTGTCCACGCCCCTCTACAGAAAAAGGGTACCCTAATTCGAACCTCTCTACTCTCTCACCTTCTCGCTCTTTCTCTCTCTCTCTCTCTGTCTTTCTGTGTCTCTCTTTCTCAGTCTCTGTCTTTCTCTCTCTCGCTGTCGCTCTCTCTGTCTGTCTCTTTCTCTGTTTCTCTGATTCTGGCGCTGTCTCTGGCTCTGTCTCTCTCTCTCTCTCTCTCTCTCTCTCTCTATCTTTCTCACTCTCTGTGTCTCGCTCTCTCTCTCTCTCTCTCTCTCTCCCTCTCTCTCTCCCGCTCTCTCCCTGTGTCTCTCTCTCTCTCTCTGCAAGCGTCACGTCCCCCCCTGAGTTCCGGGCACTGCCCCTGCATGACCCGGAACTGTCATCTCACTACTGGCTTTCCCCTGATTTCCCCTTCATGTCATTTTCACGTTTCCCATGATGTCCTGGTCCTGTCCCTTCCATGCCGTTCACCCCCCCCTTCATGTCCCTGACATTTTCTCGGTATGTCCGCTTCATTTTCCATGTATGTCCCGTTCTTTCGTCGCGAGTCATTTCCCTACATCTCCCGTCGTGCCGATTGGTTTCCTTGTGCGTTGTTTCCCTTTCCTTCCCCCTACACTCCCCTGTTTTCATTTCTGTCCCTTGCATGTCCCTTTCAGTTCCCCTTTGT